CAGATGGCGGCAGAGTATGCCAAAAAGGAGTTTCGCTTGAGTAAGGTCCCTAGCAAGAGCACTATCTCCAAAATTATCAAGCAAAAATCCACCGAAGCTCCTGGTGACGAAAGGGACGCCAAAAGGATGCGCAATAGAAAAGGACAATATCCTGTAAGTATGAGTATATAGTATATATATAGCAGTAGTAATATATATTTGATTGAACTGTACTGATAGCTATTGTTTCTCTTCGTCTATCTGAAATGATGTTCCATATATAGCAAGTTGAAGAAGCGGTGTTGCTTTGGATTAACTGTGCACAAAAAAATAAAATCTAGATAACCTGGGACCTGATTCAAACGAAGGCCCGGAACTTTGCAGAATTGATTGGAATTCAAGCATTCAAGGCATCAAATGGCTGGGCGGACCGATTCTCAAGGAGATATGGGCTAAGTGCACATAGCATCCATGGAGAAGCGCAATCAGCAGACCTTGATGCCCTTGAAGCACAGAGGGATACTATCCATGCCAAGCTTGAACGATATAAGAAACAAGATATCTATAATCTTGATGAAACCAGCTTGTTTTATCGCTTGGAGCCGAAGACAACAATTAGGACTCAAGGGTTCAGCGGCAGAAAACAAGACAAGACAAGACTCTCAGTCGCGCTTCTTTGCAATGCAGATGGTAGTGATAAATGGGTTGATCCCATTATCATTGGTCATGCTGTATGTCCAGACTCGTTCAAGGTTGATAAAAAACACAAGGATGCTGCCTTTCATGGCTTCAAGCAATACTTCGTCAATCAGAAGGCTTGGATGACTAGAAAGTGTTTCCGAGAGATTCTGAGAAAATTCGATCGAGCCATGGGTGCCAGGAAGAGAAAAGTGATCTTGCTACTAGACAACTTTTCTGGACATTATGTCAATTATGAACCTGTCAACGTTGAGCTTTTGTTCTTGCCTCCCAACACGACATCCGTGATCCAACCTCTCGATGGGGGGATTATTCGGTCGTTTAAGGCACAGTACAAACGACGACAGCTGGAAAAGGCGTATCGTTCTATTGGAATGATCCAAAACGCGAATGGTCAAGTTGTGGGCCCCGCTGAAAAAGTTTTCATTGTCAATCAACTACAAGCGATGAGGTGGATTCAAGCGGCATGGACGGCAGTAACCGCCGAAACAATCCAAAACTGTTTCCAAGCTACGATCTTCAAGTATTTAGGAGAAGGAGATAGTCTTGCTGCTACTGAAGTTGCCCAAGCAGAGGAGACAGACAGATGGGAGTTGGAGGCTCAAGTTCAACAGCTTACTTCTACTGGAGCTGTCAACCGTGATCAATGTCCTGATGTCAACCTTGATCCTGAGTATGAGCGCAACGTATACCTTGCATCACTTACAGAACAAGAAATCGTTGAGGAGGTGACAGCTGTTGCTGAAACAAGTGTAGAAGAGGTTGTTGTTGAAGAGGAGGAAGAAAAGGAATTGACGGCTAAAGAGAAATCTGAATGTATCAATACTTTTCTTGATATTTTGGATAGGGAGGAGGAACTCCATGACGCAGTAGTACATGCCATACCTCAAATCCAATTAATTCGAAATAGATATCAAAAGGCAATGTATGCTACGCAATCATCTCTGACAAAATATTTTCAACCAACGACAGAATAAATTTTTTTGATTGGATATGTTTGACCTCAATAAGAAGTCAACCCTGGCTAAGGTGTTGACATTGACCTTATGTAGAAGTTGAAATTTATCTCTGCTAAAATTTGAGGTTCTCAGAAAAAGGTTGACCGTATCGGGGGTTGACATTAAAGGGGTTGACATTAAAGGGGGTCCACTGTAAATAAACAAACTACTCTCGCATTCTTCTTAAATGATTATTAGAAACTGATAGTTCTCTTTGAATGCACAAGAAATTTACTTAATTGTATTCTTTGACTCTTGCACAATTTTAAGGTTCTTCTAGTACTTGTTGAGTCTCCCCATTGTATAGAATGTTTTGGAAAAAGAAGGAATAATAAAACTGTCATCCTACTTATAATTTACCTGGCACCATTACAGTCAATGTTGATTGGAAGGCTGAGGTATATATTGCACCAGTGCTTACCACTAATGTTACACTACCTTCTTAATATGGAAATCGCCGATTCAATGTCATATACAATAGTGTATAGTAGGGTGGACATTCTGACAAAATCCTCTGCTAAATTTTGAAATCGACACCAACTTCAACACTTTATTTCTCATTTTTTTTTGCTTATATGTATACAAAACGTTTTCATAGAATTATTCTTTGAGCCTCTCTCTATCGTTATATGAAACCAAAAAAGTGGGTTGTATAAGTGAAAAAAGTTGAAATAAAACATTGAAAATTGCTCCAAAAAGTTACGTTTCTAGGTGGCGGGCACCATATTTACAAATTAATTTAGGAAACACAATAGGGGTATTCAATTACAAAAATGAAAATTTCGTATGAAATGAAAAATCTCGCCATTACTAAATACAGTTTTCATTTCAAACCTAATAATTGGGGTACTCAATTACTCAATTTTTTTTTTTCATTTTTATTCAACTTCCCCTCTTTCAATTCTTTTCATCAAAACATTCACCTTTGTTCCCAAGTATGCCCAGATACAGTGAAAAACAGCAAAACGAACGTGTCCTAGAAGCTTTGGCATACTTACAGCAAATCGAGAGTACGATGGCCATGATCGACGATGATGAAGATATGTCAGGCGACTCGGATAGCGATAATGATGATGTCTTGCTATCGCATAATTTGCTATTGTCTATACCTTGGACGGAAGTGTATAACACAAGTTGCAGTCGACGATACCTTGATAGAGCACAAAAAGTCGCTCGTGCTCCTAGTAGGATTCACTGGCTTTTCAACGAGTTGGACGAACAACGATTTATCCAAGAAGTTAGGATGTCTAAAGATGCATTCTTCTTAATTCTCGATTTGATTAAAGAGAATGCGATCTTTGTTTCAAGTGGCCAGAAACCACAAAAACCTGTATTTGTGCAACTGCTTGTCACTTTGCGCCATCTTAGTTTCTACGGAAATGGTGCAAGCATCAGGAATGTTGCCAGATACTTTGGGATTGGAGGTACTACGCGTAATAAACTTAGTTATATACATACGTCTTTACACTTGAGACTTATGTAATGTAATACGTTTTAGAGGGCTTTGTGATCAACTACACAAATAGGTGTATTGAGGCGATCTTGGCTCTTGAAAGTACCTATATCCAATGGCCTAACAATGCAGAAAAGTCCTTGTCCAAAAGTGATATAAGTCGTGGATCTGCTTTTGAAGATTGCATCGGTATCATTGACAGCACTCTTTTTCTGTTTGCAAGCGAGCCTTGCATTCAGCCGCAAAGCTACTTCTCGTATAAAAAGAAGTATGGTATTTCTGGCATTTTGGTATGCAATAGCCAGAGACAAATCATCTATTCATACATCAGCTGGCCAGGCTCTACTCACGACAGCCGCATCTTCAGCAACAGCACTCTCCGCCATCATCCTGAGCAATACTTCAAGCCTGAAGAGTACCTTCTGGGTGACTCAGGTTTTGAGTGTTTGCCAAACGTTATTGTGCCATTCAAAAAGCGACGCAACGGCAGCTTGACAGATGAACAAGAAATGTTCAATTACAAACTTAGCTCGGTAAGAAAATATACAGTATGGTGTGCTATAAGGATAGAATTGTATTCACTTAACATTGTTCAAAATCAAAGGTACGAATTCGGATTGAACATACAATTGGAATGCTGAAGATGCGCTTCCAAAGCCTTCGGGAACTACCGCCGCACTTAATAGATGAAGATGATGCGAAGCCAATAATCCATTGGATCAAGGCTTGTTTTGTTCTATACAACATCATAACTAAACACAATTTCGAAGACATGTACGACGACGAAGAACTTCGAACTGTCGTTAATGATCAGCAAGAACAACAGCCTGAAAACAATGTGAATTGGACAATCCCGAATAGTGATAGACTGACACCAGGAAAGGCCAGAAGGGAAGAGCTCTTCCATCATATTATTAACGATCACAATTAGTCATTATATCTGTCATCATGTATCGTATATTTATTCTGTTGTTACTATCATTATTCTCTTTATCGGATCAACATCAATCTTCTACCACTACTACTTCATCCATCTCCTCCTCGTCACTGTCATTATCGCCATCATCATTGTCGTCGTGACCATTCTTACCTACAATTTCCTGTAGCTCGCTTGCCAACGACTCATCATCATCGTAATCACCCGAGTTTGTCTTGTCATCATCATCGTCAAATACGGCTCTTTGAATTGCGTTGTTGGTGAAACCAGCTTCTACCATTATCTTCATCATTGCTGTTTTGGATTCACAATCCTAGATCCGTAATTTCTTTGCCTCTAATTGCTGCCGTTGACGATCCATTCGCTCTTGTTGTAGTTGTTGATAGATATCTAGTTTGCGTTGATGCTCAAAAACATCCATTTTGTGCTTTGCGAGTTCTCGCTTGAGCTTTAAACTTTCTTCCATAAACCGCTTGTTGTCATTATTTATATCCCAGAGTGTTGCTGCCAAGGGGTTCTTTCTTATTTTTTCAGATTTTTTGATTTGAGCACGAGTCGGTTGTGACGACGAGGCTTGTTGGGGCTGCTGTTGCTGTGAGTTGCCCTCATCAATGTCTTCGCCGTCATCGTCATCATATAGGTTGTCGTCGTCGTTGTTGAAACTTAGATGGTATTGAGTAGGTGAAGAGGGTAACAGTGATGATGAAGGTGGCAGTATAGATGTTGTAATGTTTTCATTTGAGTGGTTCGTTGGCATGTGCAGAGATTCTGAAAGATAGAGGGGGCGACTGGCATGGTTATTGCTCATTATCTGTTCCAACTCGTAATAGAATTTGAAGGCGGCTTTAACGTTTTTGTCTATATATTTTGCATTTATATGTTAGCTTCAAACAAGTATACACTGGCCGATAGTTTGTTCTAATCATTTTGATTACTACATACCACTCTTGTCCTCATCGGCTCCATCCTCGTCATTGTCAATAGCCCCATCACCATAAGGTCTACCGCCACCGGTCTCTCCAATCAAGTCATTGGCTTTGTTAAAGTTGGTGATCCATTCGTTTAACTTACACGAAACATGGTGTGCTGTTCAATGGGTTAAACCATGACCGTGCAGCTCTCGGACGATCTCAGTAAGTATCACCTTTCTAGTATCCTTCGAATTGCCCTTGTTTCCTTGAGTCTTTGAATTCTTGGCCATATTGCCGCCAGTACCTCAGTAGCGTTGATAATTACCAGGTTCAAGCAACCATTCCAACAGTATTGTCTTGGATGACTTGCTGTCAGGGGTAACGTTATCTTTACTCCATGATTTAGTCTTCTTCTTCTCTGTTATATTAAATGCAATGTTTGTAAATATTAGAACTATACACAGCATGACAGCTATATGACAGAAAAAATCATGTTACCTGAAGACTCGTCCGCATTAGATGGATTTCCCTTGCGCCGCTTGTTCTTGTTTCCATCGTTCGACATTGAACTGCTGTTACTGTTAAATGTAAATAATTGCGATTCCGGGATGACAGTCGCCGAGGATGGTTCAGTGATGGAGTTTTCGTGTTGCATGATGTTGATGTATAAGGCCAGAAAAATCAGAAGAGTATGTTTTTGCAAGATATTAAAAAGATATCGTTTATTTATGCGACAAACAAAGTATTTATATGTTTGCTAACCCTGCTGCGGATCCGATGATTAATGCAAAATGTTAAGAAAAGATGCAATATTTTGCTAAGGTATGATGTAATTGTTGACTGCGCATACTTTGCTAAGCTATGATATAATGGTCGACTGTGCAACACAAAAGGAAATGGCTGCGGTAAAGGTGTCACGAAATACCAGAAAAGGGAATGGGTTCATTCTCATTTTCATTTTTTGATTTCCTATACGTTCTTATCCGAATAAAAACTGAAAATGAAAATGAAAATTTTCGAGTACCATTTTTACAAACCGTTCAGATTTTCATTTCATACGAAATTTTCATTTTTGTAATTGAATACCCCTAATAGAACATTTCAGAAATTTAATGAAATATCTACGGATTTTTTTAGAAATTATAAACAATATTTAAGAGCTTATTTTATTTATTTTGGTTTTTAATTATATTGAAAATAACAATATTATTTAATAATTCTAAATATTTAAAGAAATTATTATATTTAGAAATTTACTCTACTTTAAAATAAATATAGATTTATCATATCTAACTTATATTTATTTTCAAAATTTTCTATAAGAACATTAATTATATAAAATATAAAATCTCTCTCTCTCTCCCTCTCTTCCAGTCTTTGTCGAAGACAAAACCTGGGAACGGAGTAAGCAACGGAGTGACCTCTAGGAGCGAAGCTCCGACAAAAAGGTTTAATATTTCTACTAGAAAAATACCCGCTGGTATTTTTCACATATAATAAATTATTATAATTCTTAAATATAAAAAAATACCCACTGGTATTTTTTTTAAATTAATATTTTTAATCATTTTTAAAAAACCAAATTTAATATTTTAGAATTTAAAAATGCTTAGCATTTTAAATTCTTGTGTAACAATAAAAAGAAAAATAAAAATACTCAATTTTTATTTTCTTTCTTTAAAAATAATTAAATTTATGTAGAAAAAATACCAGTAGGTATTTTTCTAATATAATTAATATTAAAAGAAGAGGAGCTTCGCTCATAGAAAAAACTTCGTTTTTTGGTTCACCGTTGGTGAGACTGGAAGGGAAGAGGAAGAAGGAGGAAGATGTTTATATTTTAAGAATATATAATAACATCATAAACAGTATATTTATAAAGTTAAATTTTGTTTTTAAAATAGATTATTTTAATATACTCAATTTAAATCTCAGAAATAATAAAAAAGTTATTTTTAAAAGAAAATTTGCAATAATTTTGTAATCACTATACTATGAGATGTTCTCTAAGGTTAAGGGGGTCTATATTACCCTCCTCTTAGTCTAGATTATCTCCTTCTTCTACTGGTACTTCAGAGAAAGGTTCTAAGAGCCTAACAGCATCATCAGTACTACCCTCAAAAGGTAGCTGCTGATCACTAGGATCTATGAAATATGATTCCCTTATAACATGGAGAAAATGATTCCATAGATCATCAGCAAACCGCCTTTGCCAAATGAACCAAAAAAGCTGTTTTTTAACTAGCTTTTTAGTTCTATAGTTCCGGGTAATGAGCTGCTTTATCCCACCCCAATTGCCTAAAAGTGAGTATTAGATATTATATAAAAGGAGAATATTTTTTTTCAAGAGTTACCTTCAATAGTATTAGTATGGATTTGTGTACCAGGAATAACAAATATAGCTCATGGTTCACCATATGATAGGTATAACCCATCCTCTCTAACCGTTGGGTATTATAGGCTGTCTATCCATTAGAGTAAATGATTGATCCATTAAGGATATACCTTTGGATCAAGTGCTCTAATGTAGGGTGGTTCCGCCGGTCTACATTCACCATCATAATATGTCTTTCTTGTGTCCGTTCTACTGCCCCCTAAACCCAAACACCTTTAACATAGCTACTAATACCATTGGCGGACGGCTTTCTTTTGCCAAACTTCGTTTCAGCGATATCTACAATAATTCCTGGGCCACTAACTGGTTCACCTATATTATTAATAGTTATAAAATATAATAATCAAAGTAGAAAGAGAAATATATATACCTTTGAATATACTCTCCATATCTTCAATAAATAGTTGAAAGTAATCATATCTTATCGGGCGAACTGTCTCCTAAGTTAGTTTAGTCTTATTAATAATATTAGTAGCACTAGTATTAATTAACAATTCTAAACTAATATGTAAGACAACATGTGGAGGTACATTCTGGTGTTGAAAACAGGAATGAGTCCGAACAGTCCGCTCCAAATTACAGCTAGTATATCGGGAAGTGCCATTTGCTCCTCTAGACCAAGAAAGAGGCATATCTCGGTCATAGTTAAGGCACTTCATACTACGGTAAAAAATGCCTTCTTCATATAGAAACTGAATACAGGCCTCAGTACTTAAGAAGTAAGGCTCAGTAGGTGTAGGGATTTTGTTATAGATTGGCATACTATTATAAACTAGTTAGTACCTTTACTTTTATACTTAACTCTCCTTTAAAAGAATACCTTGTAATAGTTTGTTTTATGTATAGAGATATAGTTGTATATGTGTATAAGTGTTTGAATAAAGGTATTTAGATATAGGTAGGAGAAAGAGTAGATGTAGTAGATGTAAATAGTGTAAAGGGTCTAGTTTATTTTTTTCTCGTGGGGAAACTGGGAAGACTAAAGAAAAAAAAGAATTCTCAAAAAGATATTGTATTTATACCTTATAAATGTATGTTACATAATTCAAATTCAGCTCCTATTTATTCTGTAAATAAAAGTCACAATCTAAATTTGGGTATATTAAAGTATTTTTATCACTAAAGTCTTATCTATCAACTACTGATATTTTCTATCATGAAGTACTCATATCTTATCAGATACTCATTCGTTTCAAATAAAACAAATAGTTTTAAGTTTACTCTACATTATACTACTACAGATGCTCTTTAAATATCTAAAAAGTATAATACCATAAATGTATAAGCAATGGGATGATCTATAGACTTACTATATAAAAATATATGCTTTTATACTTATTGGAACGAGGAAAAAAAGCTGCATCTGATGGTATATTATTTATATGAAAATAATCAGAATTGGTTGGATAATAGCAAAAACCAGTTTTTCAAAAAAAATTTACACTAAAGTTTGGCAAAAGGGGGATTTAAACTCGCACCTTCTACCAAAGGTAGGACATAAGGCTAGTGCGTTAGACCACTTCACCAACGCAAAGTTTTGAAAAAACTAAAGCATATATGTCTGCTACTGCTTAGTCTGGGAAAACATTTAGCCGTCAGGAAAACCAATTAAGGTTACTCTCATTTCGCTCCGAACAGAGAACCCAAAATAGTTTTGCAAGAATTCAAAGTCCTCTCTACTCGGATCGAACATAAAGGCGCACTGCACCGAGAAACTTCCTTTTCTGTATATACCCCGAGGTGTTGCATGAATAACAACGCGATTGCCATAAGAAACTTTGTACCCGACTGTATATATATATATATATATACGCTGTGAATATAGTAGAAGCTAATAAATAAATTTCTCTATTATTTACTTCATCCATTGCCTCTCTATTTTTTCTAATACCTATTATGCCAAACAACAGCAACAACCACAACAACTTTCAAATCTTGATGTGGACACCCGCCAGGATCCTCAGCAACAGCAGCAGACACAGCAACGGCAAGATTCAGAAGCACCGATGCAAGCACAAGAATCCCAAGTTCAAGAAGCATTGCCTGCATCAGCAGCCATTGATGGTGATGACAATGATGGCAGCAACAACATGACATCAACTCCACCTGGTTCGCAGACACCTGTTCCTACCTCTGCACGACGCCATACATGGGACGAGGCCTACATCGATGCACTCATTACGGCTGTAGGGACTCGATACGATAGACTGAAGACAGTTATCGAAACGCAAGCCAAAGGTCGCATCTGGAATGAAATACTTTCTGAGTATGTTGCAGCTGATCCGTTAGGTCGAAGTAAAGAAGCATTACAGAAGAAATGGCAAGATCTAGTCGATGAATATCGCGATGTTAGGGCTACGATTCGCAACAGTGGTGAGAACGGCCCTTCAGGTCAAGAGCGATGGTGCTACTATGACGCTGTAGACAGAATTGTGGGAACTGACCCTGCAATTGTACCTCCTGCCACGATGGATTCCCTCGATGGCCTCGTTGTCAATAGCACCCGACGAGAAAGGGATAACAATAACGATGTCAGCGAGCGGCCCACACAGCGACGACAAACAGCGGCATTTCAAGAGCTTGTCCTTGAGAATGCCGATCGGCAAACCGATCGCCTCATTGCCAGCATCAGCGAGGCATTCCAGCGGTTTGAGGAGGCAGAAGACCAGTATTCGCGAGAGGCGCAGGAAGCAGAAGACCGCCGGTATGATATGTACTTGCAGACACTAAGAGATTTGTTTGGTAGCCCTACAAACACAAATAGAAGTGGAGAGCCTAGTAATAATAACGAAGAAGAACAATAAATTTTATTATATTATAATATGACATTTATTCAGAATTGTTAAAAGTGTATCTAGAATACCCTGTGTGATGACTAAATCTTCTAATATAGCACTTTACTGCACTTTACAGAATGTGAAGAAGAAAACTAGTCATGCCATTACAGACAATAACTGCTACGAAAAGATGCCCAATTATTTTATATGCAGACTTTTAGTACCAAGCAGCACTTCACGTCAATATCTAAAAGATATAGAGCGATTACTGGAGCAATGTATAATGTATTGCGTTTATTGATTTGAGGACAATGATTCTTTAAGCATATCGCGTTTCTGACGCCCTTGTGCAAACAACCTTGTACTGTCTTCTCTAGTACTAGACTGTCTATCAGTATCTATTATTGATATACGTCCGGTTTGTTCATCCTCTTCTGTGTTCAATGGAAACAGTTCGTCAGAGTGCGGATCGAGCTGCTCGAT